CTCCCAACCTGCCATTATGGTCTAGCAGAAGAATGCAGAAAATCTCAGAAAGAGTTTTGAAAATATTAAACTAGAAAATTTGCATTTTCATGATAGAAAACTGAGATAAAAGCAGATAATGAAAAATAAAATCAGATGTTTTCTAAAAATTAAAGGACTGATTTGCTAAAATCCAAAAGTGAAAAATGGAGAAGGAGAAAGATAGCAACTGGCCCAGACTGTGCACTTTCTAAGCACTAGTCACTAGGACACGATGGGCATCTTTTTCAATTATCCTTCTCGATACCCCTGGGATCCAGATGCGTTCTGCACAAGAGAACAGCATTGCAGCATGGTGAAGTCACCTGTTCGAAAGTGACTGAGCTGATTTAAGAGCCTGAACTCTTGACCACCTCACTTTGACAAATGGATAGACCTTAGTCAAAGAAGGGATGGAAACCCCTGAACAGCTCCCAGAGCTGAGCCTCCTCATGCCCAGAGCCCCAAAACAGGCTTCCACAGGTTTCATGGGGAGTGTCTCATGGAGGAGAGCTGGAGGTTCAGGGAGTGAAGAACCCACCCCTGGCTTCTGAAAGCCAATCGAAACCAGGTGGTTGGCTTGAGAGGGACACTGAATCAACCTTGGATTGAGCAGCTGGGCCAGTAGGTCCAGGTAGGGAATGTGAATGAGTCACATGGCCAAGTGTAGGAAATGCCATGGCTTACGCTCAACAATCAGTGGCTATTATAGTGGGCCTCAGAGTTGGAGAGGCCATAGGGAGTGGTCAGGCCTGGGACAAGTTGACAAGCACTTGACCCATCAAAAGAGTAACTGCTACAGCTGATAGTCACATGAAGAACTGTGGATTCACTGTTGCCAGGCTTCTAAATTTTTAAGAGAATCTGGAAATCCAGAGTTTTATGAGAAATCTTCCTGATTTTTAAATGTTGGCAACTTATTTGAAAAATAAAAACACTTGTGTTTGCCAACACTGTGCAAGCCAAATATACCAAAAATCTGCACTCTGGGCAGCCTCTTGGGGTCTCTGAATTAGACAAACAGTAACAAATTCTTGCATAGACATAGAGAGCTCTAGCTTATCAGGTAGTGATTTTAGCTTTTGCACACTATGGGTGCAAAGTAAGGAGATGAAACCAGTCAATCCTAAAAGAAATCAACCGTGAATATTCATTGGAAGGACTGATGATGCTGAAGCTGAAGCTTCAATACTTTGGCCACCTGATACAAAGAGCTGATTTATTGGAAAAGACCCGGATGCTGGGAAAGATTGAAGGCAGGAGGAGAAGGGGGCAACAGAAAATGAGATGGTTGGATGGCACCACCAACTCAGTGGACATGAGTTTGAGCAAACTTCGGGAGATGGTGAAGGACAGGGAAGCCTGCGTGCTGCAGGCCATGGGGTCGCAAAGTGTCAGACATGACTGAGCGACTGAACAGCAACACGCTCTGGGAGATTTCCTTCAGCCCTCTGAGAATAGGGAATGTGTAGGCCAGGTGAAAGGTAAGGATCAGGAGGTATAGAAAGGGAGCATACGACTGACAGACTGACAGCTTCCTGGGGGTAGTGAAGGTGGGAGAGGAAGGGAGGGCATTAAGTTTGGGCAGTTGTCCCCAGTGGCGGATGCACATCAGGTAGGCGGGGCAAGGGGAGTCCAGAGAGGAGCAGAGGTCACAGATGGGGGATGGGGCATTACTCGGGTCCCCACTGAGGACAGATCTGCTGGGTTTTAGAGAGCAGTTCAGTAAAATGACAGAAACAAAAGCTGGGTTGCAAAGGGTAGGGATGAGGGGTTTGGATAAAGGATGTCTCAGAAGAAGCGGGAATGATGGGGGCAAGAATGAGGATGTATACCTTTTACTTTAAAAATTTTAATTGTACTAAAATACACATAACAGAAAACTTGCTGTCTTAACCGTTTCTATGTGTACAATCCAGTATAGTCACATTGGTGTGCAACCGATCTGCAGAACTTTTTCATCTTGCAAAACTAAAACTTTTACCCATTTAACAACTTCTGATTCCTCTTGCCCCCAACCCCTGCAACCACCATTCTGCTTTCTCTCTCTGAGAATTTTACGACTCTGTGTGCCTCATAGATGTGGAGTCATCTAGCATTTGCTTTTTGTGGCTGACTTATTTCATTTAGCTTTTAGTCCTCAGGGTTCATCCATATGGGTAGCGTGTGTCAGGATTTCCTTCCTTTTTAAGGTTGCATAATATTCCATTCTATGTATATACCATTCTTGTTTATCCATTCATCTGTCCATGGACATTTGGATTGTTCCCACCTTTCAGCTTGTATAGCTTTTGGGAGGGGGGAGGTTTTTGCTCTGAAAAGGAAAGAGAAAGGTTCAGGTTCAGATGCTAGGATTACTAACAGGAGGGTGGGGATTGGCAGGACTGTTAGTGGTTAAATATATTTTATATATGAGCCAGAATCTACCCAGTAGTGAATTAGAGAAGGAGATGGTGTCATTTGGCAGTTTTTGTTTCTGATGATGCTGTTATATGCATTGTTGGGGTCTTGCTGCCTACATTGAGAGTATTTTGTAGGTCCTAAGACTATCAGATTTTTTTTTCTAAAATTTTGCTGCTACTTGCTTCTTTTTTTATAGATATGACAATGGATTAATTTCATCAATTCATTCTTAATAGATTTGTCAGTGATTAAGATTTTGAGTGCACAGAACATTTCCAAAGTTCTGTAAACATTCCATCATGTACCATATACACCCTCCCATATATATGCTTCATTCATTAAACAAATATCTATCGAGTACCTGCCTATGTGCTAGACACTAGTCACAAGAATTGAGGGAACGGGTCCCTATATTGTCTGTTATCTTGTAGAACTTATGTTCTAGCTTCTATTCTTTCTGTTTAGATTTCATAGTCTAGAGATAACAATAGCAATCACATGGTTTACTTACTGTTTTAGGTGCATCACATGTTTTGATTTATTCATTCCTTACAACAACGCCATGAAGTAGAGACTATCATTACCCCTATTTTATAGATGAGGAAGCTGAGGCAGAGAGGTGAAGTAATTTGCCCAAGGCACACATCCATTACATGATATGGTGGAATTTAAAGCCAGGCAGTCTGGCTCCAGAGTCACTCTACCTCCTCTCTTCCTATCACCTCTGTGATTTCATAGCAAACAAAAGTTTGCCTTAAGCCAGGCAGGAGGCACAAGCCACACAGGTTCAAAAGTTTGCACCATATCCTGCTAGTCGCAATGACTCAAGTATAACTCTTCAATATAATTCCTTATCTTTGGAGGGTTCTCCATTTTCTTCACCACCTGTTAGTATTGGCTGACTCTGTTACTGGATTTGCTTAGCCATCTGTTCTAATGAAGGAAGCAGAGAAGACATTTTGAACTAGAAGAATATCAAAGACAAAATCAGAGGTTAGAGGAGAATCAGAATCCTCCCAAAGTTAGGTTCAGATCTTTCAGCTGCTTTTTCTTGTAACTTCATGATATGTGTCTCCATTTTTTCAAACTGGGCATTATCGTGCTACTGTCTTCCAATTTTTCTTTCATTTTTATGAACCAATAGTTTGAGTACAAAGGCTCTGTCTCAAATGACTCCTTGGCAGAGGCATGTTGGAGTTTTCTCAAAGGAGTTCCTGGCTCCTACTATTGCCCATTTTTCTTCTAAAGCACATACCTTCAACATTCACTGTCATTAACATCGTCACCAGGGAACTCAGTCTATATGCACAGAATTGCAAGTGGAAGTTCAGGAACGATAATTGATCATACCAAGTCATAGAGAATACAGTCAGTTTGCGTTTTCTTTATCCAGGTCAAAAGCTCAAATGAGATGTGAGGCATTGGGTCTTTCTTGGTTGAAACATCCTGTTCCGTGGCCTGATGACATCTTGGAGAGTCTGGTAACCCCCTGCCTGTGGAGTGGAGACCTGCTCCTGATTCTGCTGGGGCTAGGCCGCGTGTTCCAGCACCGTCACGGGGTCTTCCTGTCCGCGGGCTCTGAGCCTGGGCTCTACATGCTGAGGGCTAGTGCTGCTGCAGCGGCTCCGGTGCTGTAACCCACTTGGCCACCCTGCTTCTCCATGTGCCCCCTGGGGCCTGTTCTTGAGAGAGAGGTGTCTGGTGACAGACCCTGCTCCTGGCTACTTTACACTGGGTCACTGGGCATCCCACTGACCCCTGTGTCCATCCCAGACAGATATTCCCAAGTTGCTGCCTTGGGCTGCGGCCCCCACTGCAACATAGGCCTGTCTAAGTAGGCCCGTGTGTGATTCGCACTACACACCCCTGGGTGAGAACTGTGCATGGCACTGTGCCCTCATTCATGCCAGCAGCCTTCTGTTCCTGAGGTGACACTGCTTACCGATTGTCCCCTGCTAAGAACGCAGCAGGTCACATCCTCATGGTTACCTCTGTGTCCTTGTTTCTGTTTTCTGGGGTCAATTCTTAGAGGTCAAATTTTAGTCAAAGTGTAGGCATATTTTTAAAGTGGGATGTAAACCAGTGTGGCCAGTACCATGTGAAAGCAGAGGTGGCTGGCATAGTGGAGAAAGCGTTGGACCAGGAGTAAGGAGGTCTGGGCTCCAGACAGGACTATGCAGCCAGCGGGCCTGGGCTTTGGGGAAGTCCTTTGGTTTCTTTTCCCTTCCCCTGGTTTCATTTTCTTCTTTTGTAAAAGGAGCCCTGTTAACTAATCTGCTCAGGTACTATGGTGCAGACGTCACTGGGGCTTTCGGCCCTGCAGGCAGGCGTGTGAAAGGAGAGTCTTCGCTGCGGTTCCCTTTGCACACTGGTAATGGCTTACTTGAGAACTGCTTCAGGGTTTCAAAGGAGCTCTCACTGTCCTATAAGAAAAGAAAATCGAGATTACTATCTAAAGTCTAGTTCATTTTTAGGCCTTTGATAGACAGAGATCAAAGAGATTTCTCCCACACAGATGCCATGGATGTGGTTCCAAAGGTGATTACTCCAGTATTAATTTCACTTTCATATCTTTACAGGGAAACTTTATGGTGATGTACCTTTCATAGAAGAAAGACACAGACATCGATATGAGGTACATCTGTCACACTAAATTACTGTGGAGTAAGGGCTTGTCCCCGGTTGCTCAGTGGTAAAGAATCCACCTGCAGTTCAGGAGATGTGGGTTCGATCGCTGGGTCAGGAAGATCCCATGGAGAAGGGAATGACAACTCACTCCAGTATTCTTGCCTGGAGAATCCCATGACAGAGGAGCCTGGTGGGTCACAGAGAGTTGAACGTGTCTGAAGCGACTGAGCTTGCACACATGTATGCATATGGGGTTAAGATTGAGACAAACAGGTGGGACCCCACTTTGATTTTAGATGAGGAAACACTTTCTGTGAAGGAGAGGCTGAAAAGTTTGGGAAAGGGCCACTGATGACATGAATGAGGGAAGGGGCTGTGAATCATGTCATCAAGGTGTCATCTATAACCAGTGTTTTGGTAGAAAACTTGTTCCAAGCTTCTCTTTAGAGCGATTATGTAACTATATATAAAGAAAGATTTTGGTTTAGTCACATGAGAAATAAGATAGTTTCAGTCCTCAAGTAGATTTGTCATTTGGGGAGAGATAGTTTATTACACATAATTCAAGGGAAGAAGCAAGTAGGAGGATGGCTATAAAAAGCTAGTCTCAAGGTTTCAAGAGAGAAAGTCTAGTTACCATCTATCATCATGCAGTCGATCCCCTTCACCCATTTTGCCTACCCTCCAACCCCCTTCCCAGCTGGTCACTACTATTCTGTTCTCTGTGAATTGTTTTTGTTTTATTTTGTTTGTTCATTGGTTTTGTTTTCTTTTAGACCCAGCATGTGAATGAAATCATATTTGTCTTTCTTTGATTTATTTCACTTAGCATAATAGCCTCAAGGTCCATCCATCTTGTTTTGCAAAAGTCATGTTTTTATTCTTTTTTGTGGCTGGGTAGTATTCTGTTTTATATATATATATACACACATATATATATATGTATATATATATATATATTCTCACATCTTCTTTATCCATCAGTGGAAACTTATGTTGTCTCCATGTCTTGGCTATTGTAAATAATACTCCAGTGAACATAGTGTGCATATATCTTTTTGAATTTGAGTTTTCATGTTCTTTGAATAAGTACCCAGAAGTTGAATAGCTAAGTCATATGGTAGTTTTAGTCTTAGTTTTTTGAGGAGTGTCCATCCTGTTTTCCATAGTGACTGGACCAATTTACAGTCCCATCACCATTGTGGGACTTTTCTTTACATCCTTTCTCACATTTGTTATTCCCTATCTTTTTGACGATAACCTTTCTAGCAGGTGTGAGCTGGTAACTCATTGTGGTTCTGATTTACATTTACTTGACATTTAGTGATGTTGAACATCTTTTCATGTACCTTTTGGCCACCTATATGTCTTCTTTGGAAAAATGTCTATTCAGATCCTCTGCCCATTTAAAAATTTTTCTTTTTTGGTATTGAAGGATATGAGTTCTTTATATATTTTGGATATTAACCCTTTATCAGATGTGTGATTTGCAAATACCTTCTTCCATTCAGTAGGTTGCCTTGTTTTGTTTGGTTTGTTAGTCTTTTGGCCTCACTGTGGGCTTGAGGGATCTTAGTGCCTTAACCAGGAACTGAACCCAGGAGCCCTGAAGTAGAAGTTAGGAGTTGTAACCACTGAACTGCCAGGAAATTCCCTGCCTCCTTATTCTGATGATGGTTTCCTTCACGTGTGGAAACTTTCTAGTTTGGTGTAATCTCAGAGTCCTACTTTTTGAAACTTATCTTTGGGCAACAGAAGATGGGCCTTCCAGATTTAAGGGCTGTGATTAAACTATTTCTCAGGTTCATTATGAGTTTAAAAATAGGCTTTGAGGTTTGACTATAAATAGAAATTACTAGTTAGAGCATCACCAAAATGGAAAATCATTTTCATAAGATATGTCTGTATTGCTCTGCTGTCCAAAGACACTTAATTTCTTGTTTTTCCAGGTGAATCCTAGCCTAATCAGCCAACTTGAGCAGAAAGACTTAAGTTTTGTAGGTCAGGATGTTGATGGAGAGAGGATGGAAATCATTGAACTGGCAAGTAAGTGGGGTCTTCATTTTTGAAAATTTTTTGCTGTGAGCTAATGTCTGTTTGTCAGCTGTGTGCATACAAAGATATAACTTGAGACCCATTTTGTTTGTTCTTTTCTCCTCTCTCTTTTGAAATAAATATTCAATTAAATAGAAATAATATGCACTAAATATAAGGTGTATGAAAAAACAGATTGCTTATAATACTAATTATTTTGGGCTCTGTTTATGTGAACTGCCATAAAATGATGTAGTGTTCAGAGCCTTACCAGTTTTTTCAGTAGTATGCTTCCTTAGCATCCTTGCCTGCTTCCTGGGGTGTCTCTTGTTCCTAGCCTCTGAGTTCAATGGTCTGGGAAAGGCAGGCAGCCCACTGTTGAGGAGCACTCTGCTTTCTCCCACCTCTGAGGAAGAATGGCCTGATGTTCTCCTCACTACTGGTAACCGACTGTGCAGTACATATGACAGTGATCTATTGGATAAACTTGCCCTCATTTATTGAATGCTTAGTGTGTACAGGATGCTCTAAAAATGGTAACATCATTTTCTAGAACCTACCTTTCCAATCTGTATATTTGGGCTCCAGATAACGTGGGCTACTTACTCTTCTAACTTTTCTACTTCTTTTTCCATCTTAACCCATGTCACTGTTCTTCTACTTCAGATTCCTTTTCTCTGTCCCTTTCGTTTTCTGTCTCTAAACTGTTCAGGTACTTCAGAGTTCCAAGCAGGGAGGACACTTGAAGTTGGGAAAGGCTTCTTTGACCACAGTGGCATGTTACCTGGACCCAGAAAGAAGGCAAGCAGTGGACATTGAGCATGCACTCACTGGATGCTTCTCACCAGACCCCTTGCTAGGGACTCCGTGTGCCTATGTAACTTACAAGGCAGGTGATGTTATTCCTACTTTAGAGAGGAGACTGGAGTGCAGAGGTTAAGAAACCTGCTAGGGCCATCCAGCTAGTCACTGGAGGGGCTGGATCTAAACCAGGCCATAGCCGCCTTCTGCCACCACTTTTGTGGGACTGTTGTTCTTCTTGTTTTCAGTGGACATTCCACCTAAGATTATCAATCCATGCCTGAAGTTTTAAATTAGAATATGAGGATATATTTTCTGTAGTTCTTTTGATAAAAATGTCCATCACTTATAATTTTTATAGTGTGGATCGCTGTTTTGTGTTGGAAGTCTCGTAAGTCTGGTATGTGAGAGGGCAGAGAAGTTTCTTAAGCAAATTATTGTTTATTTACTTTGTTCAACTACATTATTCTCTTTAATTCTCCTGACTCTCATTATTATCAGCAAACACTTAGAAGCTTCTTTCATTGTAAGGGTTTCATTTCCTATTGACAGTTTCAAATTTCATGTGGGTTGGAAAGGAAATGAGACCCGCCATAAAACCTTGAAATTTTAAAAAAGCTGACTGCAAGGGAGTTCATTTTATTAAGGAAAACTTCCCAGAAGACTTTGATCTTAGCTACTCTTACCATATCCATGAATCTCTACATTCCTGAAGGAGTTCTAAAAGAAACAACAAAACTTGTGATTAGTATAATGTCAGAGTATGTTTCAAAGCAATTAAGAGCATTATTTAAAAGACACTTTGACTGGTAGAATATCATTAAAATAAAACCTTTTCAGTCTCTTTCCTCATTTTGGTATAGGGGATTTTTTTAATAAAGTGATTCAGAGCAATGGTCTATTCATTCAAATATTCTTTCCTTGGCTATGACACGATCCATTGCTCACCTTCTGTCCGTAGTGGTACAAAAACACAATTATTGTCAGCTTCTTTCGGAGACATCCCTAGATGCTGTGCTGCAGGATTCATCACGTCTTTAAAAGCTGCACTGGTTTCTTTTCTAAGGACAAATGGTTTCTCTTCTTTTCTTGAGGGGACACTTTCCTGAGAGGAGAGGGCATTCCTCTCACCAAGCTTTCACACTTGAGTGTCCCTCTAATTCAAGGAGGCTTCTTCCTAGATATGCTATAGAGGATTTATACACTGGAATTTTCTGAATTCAGAGCTGTCCAGTAGAACCTGCTGCAATGATGGAGTATTCTGCCCTGTTCAGTATGGTAGCCACTAGCTGTTTGGGGCTATTTCACACTTAAAATGGCTTCCCTGGTGGCTCAGATGGTAAAGCGTCTGCCTGCAATGTGGGAGATCCAGGTTCGATCCCTGGGCCGGGAAGATCCCCTGGAGAAGGAGATGGCAACCCACTCCAGTACTCTTGCCTGGAAAATTCCATGGACAGAGGAGCCTTGTAGGCTGCAGTCCATGGGGTCGCAAAGAGTCGGACAGGACTGAGTGACTTCACTTCACTTCAGCACTTAAAATGTGCTCAGTTAATTTGAATGAATTTAAATGGTCACCTGTGGCCAAGGGCTACCATTTTGTATAGCAAAGCTTTATTCTGGGGGGTATTCTGGGGGATTTTCAACCTTTGTTTAGTTAGTAAGTAAGAAGTAAAAATGAAAACGGGCTTCCCAGGTGTGTCTCAGTGAGTGAGAATCCGCCTGCCAATGCAGGAGACACAGGAGATGCAGGTTCGATTCCTGGGTCAGGAAGATCTCCTGGAGAAGGAAATGGTAACCTGCTCCAGTATTCTTGCTTGGAAAATTTCATGGACAGAGGAACCTGGTAGGCTATAATCCATGGGGTCGCAGAGTTGGACACAACTTAGCGACTGAGCAGAGCACAGCAAAAATGAAAACAGACACAAAAACTATCTGATACTGCCACTATTTTATAAAGGAGACTCAAAATAGGAGAAGGATCATCATCTGAAAACTGAAAGATCAATCCTTGCAGAAGGGAACAAACGGTGATCTTGCATCAAGGCTTCTGAAGCGGGTAGTGAGTGCCCCAGGACACACCTGGCCCCACAGGTGCAAAGGGAAGCATCAGCTAATAGTCAGATGATGAAAGCTGAAACCTCAGCTAGCTGACCAGAACAAAGCTTCTCCAGGCTTTTGCATCTATACCTGGACATTTACCCTACTTCTGAAGTCCTTTCCTATTCTAAAGCTTTATAACCATTAGATGAGAACAATCTGCTAGACTGTTATCTATTTCATTACAATAAGGACTAAACTTTAAATGATAATCTTAGGAGAATGGATATTGCCATTCAACCAGCATTTCCTCACTACTGAGCAGTAGTTTGGGGTCTTCAGTGGTAAGTGATGGGGATTTGTGATTTTGAATTCCGTACTAGACTTTCAGATCATTTGATAGAGCGTCCCATTAAAAGATTTAAAATTATATTTACTTCTTCCTATAAAAGTTATATTTTATCATATTCAGTTTGATATATATATATATGGCCATTAAAATTATTTTTAAAGTAAGGACTACATACCAACCATGCTTTTACTATGGGAGTTATGGGAATAGAGAGTTGCCCAATCTCCAATTAGGAGTTGCTTCCTAACCTGGGAATAAACATAGTTTCTGAGAGTTCTGAGTGGGGAAAGGAATTTGTAATCCTAGAAAATTTTTACCCAGATTTGAAAATGTTGCCCATTAATTTTTACCATTCACAAACAGGGGATTCCAGATACCTGAGAAAAGCGATTTTTCTGTTCCTATTACATCTAGGAGAACTTGAACTGCTCATATAGGGATTTCTTACAACTCTCAATATGTAACAGCTTTATTTGCCCTCAGTCATGTCCAACTCTTTGCAACCCCATGGACTATACAGTCCATGGAATTCTCCAGGCCAGAATACTGAAGTGGGTAGCTTTCCCTTCTCCAGGGGATCTTCCCAACCCAGGGATCGAACCCAGGTCTCCTGAATTGCAGGTGGCTTCTTTATCAGCTTAGCCACAAGGGAAGCCCAAGAAAACTGGAGTGGGTAGACTTTCCTTTCTCCAGGGGATCTTCCTAACCCAGGAATCAAACTGGTGTCTCCTGCACTGCAGGCGGGTTCTTTACCCACTGAGCTATCAGGGAAGCCCAATGTAAGAAATTCACTGTAAAGGTTCACATGATACAAAGAATTATAATGAAGAAAATAAAAATATATTGAACTTTTGTCACCTTGAGCCATAACCACTATTAACATATTGAAAGGCCATCCTTTTATCACTTGGAGACTTCATTACAGGTGATAAGTTGCTGTTGTTCAGTTGCTAAGTCATGTCTGACTCTTTGCGACCCCATGGACTGCAGCATGCCAGACTCCTCTGTCCTCCACTATCTCCTGTAGTTTGCTCAAATTCATGTCCATTGAGTTGGTGATGCTATCTAACCATCTCATCCTCTGCCTCCGTCTTCTACTTTTGCCTTCAGTCTTTCCCAGCATCAAGGTCTTTTCCAGTGAGTCAGCTCTTCATATCAGGTGGCCAGAGTATTGAAGCTTCAGCTTCAGCATCACTTCTTCCAATGAATAGTCAAGGTTGAGTTCCTTTAAGATTAACTGGTTTGATCTCCTTGCAGTCCAAGAGATTCTGAAGAATCTTCTCTAGCACCACAATTCGAAAGCATCAGTTCTTCAGTACTCAGCCTTCTTTATGGTCCATCTCTCACATCTGTACATGACCACTGGAAAAACCATAGCTTTGACTATATAGACCTTTGTCAGTAAAGTAATATCTCTGATTTTTAATGCACTGTCTAGGTTTGTTACAGCTTTCCTTCCAAAGAGCAAGCATCTTTTAATTTCATGGCTGCAGTCACTGTCCATAGTGATTTTAGAGCCCAAGAAAACACAATCTGTCACTGCTTCTACTTTTTTCCCTTCCATTTGCCATGAAGTGATGGGATCAAATGCCATGATCATATTTTTTTTGAATGTTGGTTTAAAGCCAGCTTTTCACTCTCCTCTTTGCTTTCTGCTATAAGGGTTGTATCATCTGCATATTTGAGGTTATTGATATTTCTCCTGGCACTCTTGATTCCAGCTAGTGCTTTGTCCAGCCTGGCATTTCGCATGATGTAGTCTGCATATACGTTAAGTAAGCAAGGTGACAATATAGAGCCTTGACGTGCTCCTTTCCCAGTTTGAACCAGTCCATTGTTCCATGTTCAGTACTAACCGTTGCTTCTTGATCTGCGTACAGGTTTCTCAGGAGGCAGGTCAGGTGGTCTGGTATTCCCATTTCTTTAAGAATTTTCCACAGTTTGTTGTGATCCACACAGTCAAAGGCTTTAGTGTAGTCAATGAAGCAGAAGTAGATGTTTTTCTAGAATTCTCTTGCTTTCTCTATGATCTGATGAATGTTGACAATTTGATCTCTGATTCCTCTGCCTTTTCTAAACCCAGCTTGTACATCTGGAAGTTCTCAGTTCATGTACTGCTGAAGCCTAGCTTGAAAGATTTTGAGCATAACTTTACTAGCATGTGAAATGAACACTACTGTACTGTAGTTTGAACATTCTTTGGCTTTGCCTTTCTTTGGAATTGGAAAGAAAACTGACCATTTCCAGTCTGGTGGCTACTGCTGAGTTTTCTAAATTTGCTGGCATATTGAGTGCAGCACTTAAACAGCATCATCTTTTAGGATTTGAAATAGCTCAGCTGGAGTTCCATCACCTTTACTAGCTTTGTTCTTAGTGATGCTTCCTAAGGCCCACTTGATTTCACACTCTAGGATGTCTGGCTCTAGGTGAATGATCACACCATCATGGTTATTGAGTCATTAACATCTTTTTTGTACAGTTTTTTTGTGTGTGTATTCTTGCCACTTCTTTTTTATTTATTTTTTAAAAATTTATTTATTTTTAAATTGAAGGATAAATTCTTTACAGAATTGTGTTGTTTTCTGTCAAACATCAACATGAAAAAAAAAACACATCAACATGATTCAGCCATAGGTATACATATGTCCCTCCCTCTTGAACCTCCCTCTCGTCTCTCTCCCCATCACATCCCTCTAGGTTGTTACAGAGCCTCTCTTTGAGTTCACTGAGACATGCATCAAATTCCCGTTGGCTATCTGTTTTACATATGGTAATGTAAGTTTCCATGTTATTCTCTCCATACATTTCACCCTCTCCATCCTTCTCCCTGTGTCTATAAGTCTGTTCTCTCTGTCTGTTTCTCCACTGCTGCCTTGCAAATAAATTCGTCAGCACCATCTTTCTAGATTCCATATATATACTTTAGTATATGATATTTATCTTTCTCTTTCTGACTTACTTCACTCTGTATAATAGGCTTTAGGTTTATCCTCTTCATTAGAATGGACTAAAATGCATTCCTTTTTATGGCTGAGTAGTATTTCATTGTATATATGTACCACAGCTTCTTTATCCATTCATCTGGTGATGGACATCTAGGTTGCTTCCATGTTCTTGCTATTGTAAATAGTGCTGCAGTGAACATTGGGGTACATGTGTCTTTTTCAGTTTTGGTTTCCTCAGGGTATATGCCTAGGATGGGATTGCTGTTGCCACCTGTTCTTAATCTCTTCTGTTTCTTTTAGATCCTTATCCATTTATTGTGCCTATCCTTGCATGAAATGTTCCCTTGGTATCTCTAATTTTCTTGAAGAGATATCTAGTTTTTCCCATTCTGTTGTTTTCCTCTATTTCTTTACATTGTTCATTTAAGAAGGCCTTCTTGTCTCTCCTTGCTAGTCTCTGAAAGTCTGCATTCAGTTGGGTATATCTTACCCTTTCTCCATTGACTTTCATTCCCCTTCTTTCCTCAGCTATTTCTAAAGCCTCCTCAGACAACCACTGTGCCTTCTTGCATTTCTTTTTCTTTGGGGTGGTTTTGGTCACTGCCTTCTGTACAGTGTTATAGTTTTTCAGGCATTCTGTCTACCAGATCTAATGCCTCAAATCTACTCTTCACCTCCACTGTATAATCATAAGGGATTTGATTTAGGTCTTATTTGAATAGCCTAGTGGTTTTCCCTACTTTCTTCAATTTAAGCCTGAATTTTGCAATAAGGAGCTCATGATTTGAGCCACAGTCAGCTCCAGGTCTTGTTTTTACTGACTGTATAGAGCTTCTCCATCTTCGGCTGCAAAGAATATGATCAGTCTGATATCAGTATTGACCATTTGGTGATGTCCATTTGTAGAATCATCTCTTTTGTTGTTGGAAAAGTGTTTGCTATGACCAGTGTGTTCTCTTGACAAAACTCTGTTAGCTTTTGACCTGCTTCATTTTGTACTCCAAGGCCAAACTTACCTGTTACTCCAGGTAGTTCTTGACTTTCTAGTTTTGCATTCTAATTCCCATGATGAAAAGGACATCTCTTTTTGGTGTTAGTTCTAGAAAGTCTTGTAGGTCTTCATAAAACCAGTCAACTTCAGCTTCTTTGGCATCAGTGGTTAGGGTATAGACTTGGATTACTGTGATATTGAATGGGTTGCCTTGGAAATGAACTGAGATCATTCTGTCGTTTTTGAGATTGCACCTAAGTACTACATTTCGGATTTTCTTGTTTACTGTGAGGGCTACTCCATTTTTTTCTAAGGCATTCTTGCCCACAGTAGTAGACATAATGGTCAGTTCCATTCAGTTCATTTCAGTCGCTCAGTTGTGTCTGACTCTGCAACCCCATAGACTGCAGCATGCCAGGCCTCCCTGTCCATCACCAACTCCTGGAGTTTCCTCAAACTCATTTCCATTGAGTCAGTGATGCCATCCAACTATTTCATCCTCTGTCATGCCCTTTTTCTCCTGCCTTCAATCTTTCCCAGCATCAGGGTCTTTTCAGATGAGTCAGTTCTCTGCATCAGGTGGCCAAAGTATTCAGGAGTATTGGAGCTTCAGCTTCAGCATCAGTCCTTCCAATGAATATTCAGGACTGATTTCCTTTAGGATGGACTGGTTGGATCTCCTTGCTGTCCAAGGGACTCTCAAGAGTCTTCTCCAACACCACAGTTCAAAAGCATCAATTCTTCGGTGCTCATCTTTCTTTATAGTCCAATTCTCCCATCCATACATGTCATCTGAATTAAATTTGCCTATTCCCATCCATTTTAGTTCACTGATTCCTAAGATGTTGATATTCATTCTTGCCATCTCCTACTTGACCACATCCAATTGACCTTGATTCATGGACCTAACATTCCAGGTTCTTATGCAATATTGTTCTTTACAGCATCAGAGTTTACTTTCACCACCAGATACATCCACAACTGAGCATTGTTTCTGCTTTGGCCCAACCACTTCATTCTTTCTGAAGCTATTAGTAATTGTCCTCCACTCTTCCCCAGTAGCATATTGGACATCTTCTGACATAGGATGGGTCTCATCTTGAGGTGTCATATCTTTTTACCTTTTCATACTGTTCATGGGCTTCTCGTGGCAAGAATACTGGAGTGGTTCGCCATTTCCTTCTCCAGTGCACCACAATTTGTCAGAACTCTTGACTATGACCTGTCCATCTTAGGTGGCCCTATAGGGCATGGCTTATAGCTTCATTGAGTTAGGCAAGCCCCTTTGCCACGACAAGGCTGTGATTCATGAAGGGGAAGATAAACTGACATAGCTGAAGTATGAGTGCCTGATTAGCTTCATGGTGCTGTCTGTGGTTAATATCCAGCCCAGAGCTATGACTAGAAAAGCAGTTATACCTGCTTCTTTCCCAGGGGACCCATCCCGTGGGAGAGGAGAACTTGTAGGAAATGGCCTGAAGCCATCTGAAAGTGACTTACAGTTAGCCTGACGTATGAGGATATCAGGCTGTTGGGGGAGGGGAACTTTCTCCCTCTACCCTCTTGAGTTCTTGTGACTGGACTAATAATAAAATTGATGCAAGACAGATAAACAGGAGAAAAAGAAAAAAATTGTACAAATGGAGGTCTCTTAGAAATGGAACCTAAAAAGTGGAGAAAGTAGGTAGGTTTTGTACTTTTTAGACACAGAAACAATATATGAGGAATTAACAGGACAAAGAAACTTAGGCTTTGAGTGCTTAATTAGTGAAGAATCTAAATGAAATTTGAGCTTGGGTAATAAATGAAAGAAGTCACAAAATGTGTTTATATAGGCTTCTCTGCCCAGATGTGTGTCTCTAGTGATAAGGATGTCCTTCCACCTCCATATGCTGAGAGTGTACCTTTCACATGAGAGGGTTATTTCCTGCTTCTAGGGAGACTGGGTGGAGTGTGTGTCAAAGTGTCCCTCTTACATCAGCTCAATCTTAAGTAATTTTAATTCAAAATAATCAGTATGCCATTGAGACATACTTTGGAGTAGCCTGCCCTGGACCCCACCCATGGAAATAGAACTATTGCAAGTCTTGGAAGGGCCTCCGCAGATCATCTTCCCATTCAAAACTTTTGCTTAACTTTTCTTGATCTATTTCACAAATAAAATGCGGAATCTCTTGTTAGCGAGATGTGTTTTACAATTTGAAATTCTACTACCAAGTTGTATCATGAAAATATCTGGCTATGATATAGGTAACAAGTTAAATCTTACCATGTAATGAGTTTTCTTATTTAAAGATAAGGTTTTTAAGGCTGTTCTCAGATTTATCAGCTTCAATTGCATTGTAATTATTCTCATTTCAGATCATCCCTATTTTGTTGGTGTCCAGTTCCATCCCGAGTTTTCTTCTAGGCCAATGAAGCCTTCCCCTCCATACCTGGGGCTGTTACTTGCAGCAACTGGGAATCTGAATGCCTACCTCCTACAGGGATGCAAGCTGTCTTCAAGGTAACCAGCTTACTGTGTCCTTAGCAGTGACTCAAGATACAATTATCAACATTGTAGGCTTCTCATAAAATTTAATATCATTGTAGGATTTATTTTTTTAAAGCGGAGAGTCATTTTTTCCCCTCTTAATAAGCATACATTTTTCTCTGAATGAAAGTGATTTAATCACATCTACAAGAGTAATATGTCAGTTTTCCAAATCATGCTGATGCTGAGTATTATTTTACAGATATTTATCATTTTGGTAGGTGAAAAAAAGGGATTTTCTTTTGTTGACTTTCTGAGTAATACATGTACATGAATATTTTATATGTTTATTGGCTTTTTTGTTTTATTAATACCCTGTTCATATCCTTTGCCCTAATTTTCCTTTTGCTATTACCCTTCTTCTTGATGATTAGTAAGTTCTTCGTATATAAAGGACATTAATCCTTTGTTTGATTACACATACTTTTTCAGAGTGGTTTTGTTTTTAAGTTGTTAATGGTTTTCAATAGTTTTTGTTAGATTTATCTTCGTTTTTATTTTCACTAAAGAACTTTAAATAAAGACTTTATGTAGTCCTTATTTATGTTTTCTTTGAACGTGGTCAGGGATTATGTCTTTAGTATCATGCCTAAACTCTTTCCCTGTCAAAAGATGATTATATAATTACCCATTTGTTTTCCACTAGCACTTTTATAGTTTCAGAGGAAAAAATTTTAAAGTATAGTTGATTTACAGTGTTGTGCTAATTTCTGCTGTACAGCTAAGTGACTCAGTTTTATATATATGTGTATATATATATATATATATATTCTTTTTAAAATATTCTTTTCCATTATGGTTTGTCCCAGGAAATTGGATATAGTTCCCTGTGCTATACGTTAGGCCCTTGTTGTTTATCTACTCTAAATGTAATATTTTGTGTCTACTAATTCCAAACTCCCAGTCCATCCCTCTCCCTTCCCTCCTCACCCTTCGCAACCATAAGTCCATTCTCTGTGTCTGTGAGTCTGTTTCTGTTTTGGAGATAGGTTCATTTGTGGTATATTTTAGATTCTACATAGAAGTGGTATCATATTGTATTTGTGCTTCTCTTTCTGACTTACTTCACTTAGTATGATAATCTCTAGGTCCGCTGCAATCTCCATGTTGCTGCAAATGGCATTATTTCATTCTTTTTTATGACAGAGTAGTATTCCATTGTATGTATGTACAGTATCTTCTTTATCCATTCATCTGTCTATGGACATTTAGGTTGTATCCATATCTTGGCTATTGGGAACAATGCTGCTATGAACATTGGTGTGCAGGTATCTTTTTGAATTATAGTTTTGCCCAGGTGTATGCCCAGGAGTGGGATTGCTGGATCATATGGTAGTTCTAGTCTTAGTTTTCTGAGGAACCTCCATACTGTTCTCCATAGTGGCTGTACCAATTTACATTCCACCAATAGTATAGGAGGGTTCCCTTTCCCCCACACCCTCTCTAACATTTGTTGTTTGTAGACTTTTTAATGATGGCCATTCTGACTGGTATGAGGTGATACCTCATTGTAGTTTTGACTTGCATTTCTCTAATAATGAGTGATATTGACCATCATTTCATGTACCTGTTGACCATCTGTAGGTCTTGTTTGGAGAAATGTCTATCAAGGTCTTCTGCCCATTTTTCAGTTGGGTTTTGTTGTTGTTGTTGCATGAGCTGTTTGTATATTTTGGAAATTAAGCCCGTGTCTTTCACATCATTTGCAAATATTTTCTCCCATTCTGTAACTTGTCTTTTCTTTCTTTTTTTTTTTTTTAAATAATTTCCTTTGCTGTGCAAAAGCTTGTAAGCTTGATTAGGTCCCATTTATTTATTTTTGTTTTTATTTCTATTGCCTTGGGAGACTGATATAGTTTCAGTTTTATAGTTTCAATATGTAATATACATGGACTTTATTTTTGGTGTGGTATGTGAGGTAGGGATCTCCGTCCCCTTGACACCACTCCACCCTCACCAATTAAGTAATTTAGATTTGTTTCAGGGATTTCTGTTTTGTTCCACTGGTGATTTCATCTCTTTTTTCTGAATCCTTACCACCCTTTTTATTGTCATAGCATTATTGTAAGTTGAGCCCTTATTTACCCTACTCTTATTATTATTTACTATTTTAAAAAATGTGTTTACCTCTTCTTCTGGAGGACCTGTACAATGATTTTTAAGGTCTAATTTGAATTTAAAAATCCCTTAGGGATTTTCATTAAAATTTAATTTTCACTAAATTTCATTAAAAGTTCTTTACATTTAAATACTAGTTTGGTGAGAATTTACATCTTTACTTCTTCTCATCTAAGAATATTGTATGTAATAACTTTAAAACTGAAAGGAACTGGCCAGAATCATGTGCTTAGGTAGGAGTTACTCCCACAATAACCGGATATATCTTGTTTAGAAGTTACCATTGTGGACCCTCATTGTAGCAAATGAGTCTTGTGATACTGCATTTGAGGACTGCCAGGATTGTGGAAAATTCTTAAAGAGATGGGAATACCAGACCATCTTACCTGTCTCCTAAGAAACCTGTATGCAGGTCAAGAAGCAACAGTTAGAACTGGACATGGAACAGACTGGTTCAAAATTGGGAAAGGTGTATGTCAGGTCTCTACATTGTCAACCTGCTTATTTAACTTATATGCAGAGTACGTCATGCAAAATGCTGGGCTAGATGAATCCCAAGCTGGAATCAAGATGGCCAGGAGAAATATCAATAACCCCAATATGCAGATGACACCACCCTTATGGCAGAAAGTGAAGAGGAACTAAAGAGCCTTTTGAAGAACGTGAAAGAGAAGAGTGGAAAAGCTAGCTTAAAACTCAATATTCAGAAAACTAAGATCATGGCATTCAATCCCTCACTTCATGGCAAATAGACAGGGAAAAATGGAAACAGTGACAGACTTTGTTTTCTTGGGCTCCAAAATCACCACGGAGGGTGACTGAAGCCATATGCATGGCTTAAAAGATGGTTGTTCCTTGGAAGAAAAGCTATGACAAACCTAGACAGCATATTAAAAAGCAGAGACTTCACTTTTCCAACAAAGGTCCGTATAGTCAAAGCTACGGTTTTTCTAGTAGTCATGTATGGATGTGAGAGTTGGATCATAAAGAAGGCTGAACGCTGAAGAATTGATGCTTTCGAATTGTAGTGCTAGAGAACTCTTGAGAGTTCCTTGGACAGCAAGGAAGTAGCCAGTCAATCCTAAAGGAACTGAATCCTGAACATTCATGGGAAGGACTGATGCTGAAGCTGAAGCTGAACCTCCAGTGCTTTGGCCACTTGATGTGAAGAGCTGATTCATTGGAAAAGACCTGGATGCTGGGAAAGATTGAGTGCAGGAGGAGAAGGAGGTGACAAGGAATGAGATGGTTGGATGATATCATTGACTCAATGGACATGAGTTTGAGCAAACTCCCGAAGATAGTGAAGGATAGGGACGCCTGGTGTGCTGCAGTCCATGGGATCGCAAAGAATCAGACACAACTTAGCAACTGAGTAAAGGATTGTGGCATGGTGTGTCTGTGTGTACTTTGTTACATGAGCCTGCTCCTTTGCAGTATTACCTGCTAGGAGAGACTCACAGTTCCCTAGAATTTCCTTTAACTGTGTGTTCAGATGGGAACAGCTTTACATTGGACCTGTTGGACCTGTTAATGAATTAATGATCACTCCCTGCTCTCTTGAACCAGTGCAGTGGTTTTCACACCATGCCCTGTGGAGCTGGAATCCAGGTTGCTCTGAGGAATGGACTGGGGTGGGTGGTTTCAGGTTCTTCCCTGCTTCAGTGAAGCATCAGCTCCACTTGTCCTGCTTCCCATGGCTTGGTTCTGCATGAGACTGTATATGAAGATGAGTTTCCTGTGCTGTGACGCTGCACAGCTTACACAGCAGATTGGATATTCCAGTGTGGTCCCTGTTGCATGTATGCTGTGACCCTTCCCTGCCACTCTGTTTTCTCCATTGTTTCAGGTGCTCACACGTGAAAGGAGGATGACAGTGGAACAAGTTAGATGACTGGGAGAAATAACATGTGCATAATTGTTTGCATATAACTATATGGTTATTTGCAAGTATCAACTAATATATAAATGACATCTGGTTTGTGTGGCTTGCCTACCTGTGTACTGGCTGGCCCATCAATTCCCACCTGGGGGCTGGTAGTCTCTGAGTAAAGTTCACTGGTAGTTTCTAAGAAAAGTGACTGCTTGTTAGCAACTCCTGAGCAAGACACAGTGTGTCTCTTAACAAGACTCTGATGCTGAGATTGGAATCACAGCTGACTAGCAGGCTTCCACAGTGATCAGAGAATTCCTGTGTATCAGCCACCAATTGGTGCATTCCTTAAGAGAAGCCAGCATCTTATTTATCTTCATCTCTCTGGCTCCCCAGTATGCAGTGGTTGTTTACTACCCATTACAGTACTAAATGTAGGGGAGGATATATCCCCTACTATACTAAATATACGCCAGGAGGATATAGTCTCGTCTAACCTTGACACCTTGCAGGGGGCCTTCCGACTAAGAATGGTACCCATGATTTAATCCAGTGGCAGACACTAAAATTCCACAGGAACCTTGCACTTCAGCTTCTCCCTGCCCAGATCCATGGTGTTAGTGAGCATTGAAAAACAAGTAACTGCTTTGGTAGCCAGGCTCAAATGTGAGCTGAGTTGGGACTGTATTTCTGTCAAACAAGATTACTGTCTGTAATCAATCCTAAACAAATGTGACAAAAAATTTGAACACTAGAATAATGGCTTCCTTTCCCAGAAATTGGCTGATATTATTTAAATGTATGGCATATGTGCCACCGATGTCTTGAAAAACCCACAATGTAAAAATCCTTGGCTTTGAGCAAATACACCTGGGCTCTAACTTTTGCTTTCTGCCTTGTGGAGAACCTTTATGTTTTACTGTGTTTATATTTTACTGCAGTAAGAATATTACTTTGGGATCTCGAGCTGGTGAGCTGAACT